AATTCTAATCGTTGCATTTTTCCGATCATTGAATTGAGAGAGACGAGCAAGTAAAAGGAACTAACGAGCTTAAGCTGTTGGGCCCGGTCCAACTTAAGCCCGTTAGGGTTTTATGCAAGGGACTATAAATACTTGATTTATAGGCCTTGCAAACATACACAAGACCTTATCAAAACCCTAGCCGCTCACCTCTCTCTCTCTCGGCCTCTCTCCCGCGGCCATCACCGGCGCCGTCGCCGTAACCTCGCCGGAATCGGCCGTTCATTGGCCGATTGCTTTGGTAGTTTCTTTCCTTCTCTTTTTCTTCCGTTTTTCTAACTATTACGTGTCTAGTGCCACGTGTTTAGTAGATCGAAGTGTACGAGGTGAAATCCGAGAGGAGGAAGATCGAAGATCGAAGAACCAAGGAGCAACACACGAGCCGAAGCCGCACGCGATCCAACGCGCCACCCGAAGACCGCGCGTGAGATACACGCGCCGCCGTGGCCGTCTCGCCGCTGCTGCCGCTGCACCGCTGCTGCCCCGGATTGTACGGATTGGTTTCCGTAGCAATCTCGACTTGCTTAGCGCTCCTACCTCACGCTTCAAGAGGTAAACACACGAATCTCATGTTTCGACTCGTTTACGTTTAAACTAAATATTCATGTTTGCTTTCGAATGATTTTATGTGATTATGTGTAATCGTTTTAATCGTTGCGAGCATGTTAGTTGGTTTAAACGCGAGCATGTTAATTGGTTTAAATTCAGTTAAACATTTTAGCATGTATGTTGTTTTTAATTTCGCTGGAAGCGCAAAGGTACGCAATTAATTGATTTATATTATCGGGCATGTGTTTATGTGCCTTAAATTCGTTTAATTCGCATAAAATTTTTGTTTTCCGCTGCGTACACGTGCCCGAAACCCAACAGTGGTATCAGAGCTCGTTGCGCAATTAATTGCGTTCGTTTTAATATGCTATGATTTTATGCATGTTCGATTTATTAAAGTAGTGATTGTTGTATTATGTAATTGGGAGTTTTCGTAAGTTTAAAATATTTTTGAAATATTGTTTAGAATTTTTCCAGATTTAAAATTGTTTAAAATTGGAAAATCGGATCTGAAATTATTTTAAAACTTCGGTTTTTCAATTGTTCGGATCGAACCGGTCGAACCGACCGGTTCGATGGTTGTGTGCGATCTAGTTGACCGAATCCACGTGGATTCGGGTTGGTCAGACCGGTTCTCGGTCCGACTGATCCGACCCACTGATTTGGGTCAATCGGACCGGGCAGAACCGGACCGCTTCGGTCCGAACCGGTTCACTGAGAATATAAAAAAAAAATTAAAAAAAATTTATTTCAGATTTCTAAAATTAAACTTAAAACAAATTGATTTTAATTTTTGAAAAATTATTTTCAATTAATCCCAATTAGATAATTGGATCGACAATCATCTATTTTAGTAAATAGGTGTTAGATTAATTAATTAATTTAAATTGTTAAATTGATTTCAATTAATAGAACACATTCATAATTTTGATTATGATTCAACTTAATTAGTACTACCTCAACATTATTTGAATGATTTATGCTAGTTGAGGTTCTATAATTATTTTGAAAAACTCGATAATTAATTAATGTAATTAATTATGAAATTAGGTTGTATGTTCCTCTTAGGACAATATGCGCTTCCATATACCTTTAGAGAACATAGATGTAGGAATCACATAGACAAATCCAAACCTTCTGATGAGATAAAAAATTTTAATAAAAATCCCTCATTCTTAATTTAATTAAGAATCATTTCAAGCTATAAAGAAAAACCCAATCTGTTGAGTTATTTCTTTCCTTCTGCCAACGGTTGGATTATGTGTAGCCCTTAACTATAGTGCAGTAAGCCGTGTTAGCGGGGAGTGCTATGGTAGAGTAAGCTGTAATTCAATTGACATAGCGATGAAGGTAGCCATAGAAAAGGGTTATGTTGAATTAACGTGGTCGGCTAGATTAACTAGGGACTGCATTAGTTTGGCATAATCAAGTTCTATGAGAATCTTTGATTGGTAGGTTAGACTTGACACACGACGATTTTGATATTCGCGAGATTAACTTAGGTCATTATCAAGTGTGAGGAAAATTAATTTAGGGTCATATTGTGGATATGATTGATTGTGATCTACCTTTGGGCAAATATAATCGGGCTAGATTAACTACGGGTTATATTTGTCTATTGGACCTAAAGCCCATTAAGAAAAATCAGTTTTCTCGTTTGTCTACTAGAGGGAAGTGGAACTCGATAAAATTAGTGGGAGAACAATTAAATAACATAAGTCCAAACATTTAATTGTAACAATCATTTAAACGCGAATCTCTAATAATCCTCTTCTCTATATGTCTCAGATAATCATGTCTAAGCATCCCATAATGTCATTCCTCGACAATAAACTCAATGGCCCTAATTACCTAGATTGGTTGCGTAGTCTTAAGCTTGTACTAACCGTTGAGGGGCGTCTCTATGTTTTGAACGAGAGATTTCCCGCCACTATACCTGCCACAGCGACTGATGCTGAGAAGGAAACTTATGAAGTTTGGAAGAAAGATGACACTCATGCTAGGTGCTATATGATAGCCGCCATGGAGCCCGCGCTTGCGAGGAAATATGAGTCTCACATGCATGCTTTCGACATAAAGGCCCATCTCGATAGCATGTATAGTGAGAATATTAGGGCATCAAGGTACGCTGCTACAAAGAAGTTGATCACGGCAAGACTGCGCGAAGGGACTTCGGTCCACGAGCACTGTCTCAAAATGATCACTCTCCTTGAAAAGCTAGTGAATCTTGATGTCACCCTCCCAGCCGAGCTCTCGTTGGATTTGATCCTGTTATCTCTCCCTAGTTCTTATGAATCGTTCATAGTGAACTTCAAGATGAACAAACTAGATCCTCCCTTGGATGAGTTAATGAACATGTTGGTCAGCTTCGAGTCAGCCATTAAGAAAGAGAAGTCTGTTCTCATTGCTGCTACTTCTGGAAAGAAGAGTTCTTTCCAAAAGAAGAGAAAGGAAAGAGTTCCCTTCCCAAACAGCAAGTTCGAAGTGGGTGAAGGTAGTGGGGGCCCCAAAGCAAAGGTTGGCAAGCAAGTTGATGATGCTTGCCATCACTGTGGAAAGAAAGGACATTGGCGCCGCAACTGCAAGGTTTACCTGAAGCAGAAAGGTTCTGAAAAGGGTACGTATTTCATTGACGTAAATTTGTCTGTCAACTCTTCTTCTTGGGTATTGGATACGGGCTGTGGCTCACATTTGTGCAATGATTTGCAGCTAATGACAAGAAGTCGAAGACTTAGAGCGGGTGAGACCTTCCTAAGGATGGGGAATGGAGCAAGAGTTGCTGCTGAAGCCATTGGCACAATTTACTTAAACGTTTTGGATTCTAGTTTTCCTATTGTTTTGAAGGATTGTTTATTTGTTCCGTCCCTCATTAGAAACCTTATTTCTATTCATGTATTAGATATTGAAGGTTTTACTTTTGTTTTTGGAAATTCGATTTGCATTATACAAAAGAATGAGAATTTGATTTGCAAAGGACGACTATTAAACAACTTGTATGAACTAAATCCAAATGAAATACCTATTAATGTTATATCAGCAAAACGTAAGGAGATAGATCAAAACCCCGCACAACTTTGGCACGCTAGATTAGGTCATGTCTCTTTAAGAAGGATGAACGATTTTGTCAGTGAAGGATTGTTCTCTTTGGAGGACGTGAAATCACTACAAACTTGTGAATCTTGCCTTAAACGGAAAATGACCAAATCACCCTACAAAGGGAAAATGGAACGAGCCGAGGGTCTTTTGGATTTGATCCATACAGACGTATGTGGTCCACTAAGTGTTAGTGCGAAGGGTGGATATAACTACTTCGCTACCTTTACCGACGATTATTCTAGGTATGGGTATGTGTACTTGATGAAGTACAAGTCTGAAACATTTGAAAGGTTCAAAGATTTTAGACACGAAGTGGAAAAGCAACTCGGACGAAGTATTAAGAAGCTGCGATCCGATCGTGGTGGAGAATACTTGAGCATCGAGTTCATTGACTATCTAAAAGAGAATGGGATACAATCCCAATGGACTCCACCGAGAACTCCTCAACTTAATGGAGTCTCCGAACGTCGGAATCGAACTTTATTAGATATGGTTCGATCAATGATGGGGTTCACGAACTTACCGGCATACTTGTGGAGTCATGCACTTCGTACTGCCGCGTATTTGCTGAATAGAGTTAATACCAAAGCAGTTAAATCCACACCTTATGAACTTTGGCATTCCCGGAAACCCAACTACAAACATATTAGGATATGGGGTTGTCCCGCTTATGTGAAGCGGTTATTGGGAGATAAGTTGGATAGTAAATCCGACTTGTGCTATTTTGTGGGGTATCCCGAAGACTCAATGGGATACGAGTTCTATTATGTCAAAGAAGCAAAGACGTTTGTTTCAAGAAATGCCACCTTTTTGGAAAGGGATTTTCTATCCGATAGAAAGGGCAGCATGATAGAACTTGAAGTAGTTCAAGAACCACAAAGTGAAGTTCAAACGCAAGAACAAGCAATTGAACCAATACAACAAACCACTAATATACCTCCTGAACCTACGGTACGTAGATCCGAAAGAGTTCGGAAAATGCCGGATAGGTTATTCCTCCTCGAAAATGATGAAGATCATGTTCATCTTGGACAAGTTCCAAGAACATACAATGAGGCCGTATCGGATGCGGACATGGGACATTGGCTAACTGCCATGAAATCCGAAATAGACTCCATGTACTCCAACAAGGTGTGGACCTTGGTAGATCCACCTAAGGGAATTGTTCCTATAGGCTGCAAGTGGATCTAAATAAGCCACTAAATAAGCCAAAATAATAATAATAAAGAAGTAATGGAGGATGTTTGAATTTATACAGGAGACTAATATTCAAATTTAATGGAAAAGATAGTGATTATATATCTGTAAACTTGGCTATGGCGGACACAACTTCTCTGCCTACAAAATGGGAAGTCAATGCTCTCTTCAGCGTCTTTCTCTTTAATCAGATTTCGGGCAATTATCTTTCTTCAACAGGTATTATATAATACTCACCTTTTTTTTTCTCTCTTTTTAGTCATAAATTATTTGTTTACTTTAATTTCTAAGCAATATTTTTATAATATTATTGGCAGGAAGAACGCTTTGTTTCCAAGCAACAAAGTCCGAATGGGGAATTTCAAAATTTATCTCTAGAAAGGTTTTTTCTGATCCATCAAATGGATACATAATCGATGACAGTTGTGTGTTTGGTGCTGAAGTTTTTGTGGTCAAAAGAGAAGCAGTCATTGAACGTGTGTTATTGACGAATGTCAATACTTATTACAATCATGCTTTGGAGATTTCGGGTTTCTCCCAATTGACCCAAAGATGGGTGTCTGAAGAATTTGATGCTGGAGGCCAAAAATGGTACAATATTTTTGTTTGTCACAACTATTAACTTTTTTTTTTGTTGTGTTTAAATATTTTAATATATGTAAATGTAGGAAAATCCTTCTTTACCCAAAAGGAAATGCAGAAGGAACTGGCAGCCATGTTAGCATCTATTTGTACTATCTTGGTACCGAAAGAGTGCAGACATGTTTTACCGTATGCATGAAAAACCAGTTTGATGATAAACAAACTAGACGATATTGTAAGTACTTACAATATTTCATTTAAAATGTTTGATGTTTCAAAACGGAAAGCGAAACCAAAAACTAAGTCTTTTTCCTTGGTTTTTTTTTTCTTTTTTTTTTCCGCAGTTTTTAGTTACTGGTTTTTAGCTTCCAGCAGTAGTTGGGGAAGGCCTGTATACATTGATCTTGCAACTATTAATGATCCTAACAAAGGAATCATTGTCAAATATTGTTGTCTTCTAAATATAAAAATCAACGTCAAAGCTGTTGAGCGAATATCTTAATTAGTTACTCATTAAAAAGTTGGATTAGACGATTTTGTTGTTTGTACCAAACTCAACTTTATATTTTCATGATATATATATTTATTGCATGATTACGATAGTACAATATTTGCATCAAACTTATAAATGATTGAATGCACATCAGAAACAGAGGATAGTACAATATTTGCATCAAACTTATAAATGATTGAATGCACATCAGAAACAGAGGCTTCGCCTGCACATTCTTTTTTATGAAATCGGAATCATTTTATGAATAATAGTGAACTGCATGAACCAGCACCTACTCACTCTTTTCACCTTCATGATTTTCATTATTTTACTCATTATTTTCCTTAGAGAATAAGGTTACTCTTTTCTTCGATCTCGTATATAATTTTTTCCAAGTATAAATAACTTATTTAGCTCAAATTTTGGAAGACTGCTTTATAAAATACGTTCGTAATTTATCTGGACACATTTGCACTATAAAGTGGTTGTCAGAAGCCCCCCACGTAAGGTACCTTCCTTTTAGAGAGCAAGTCTCCGCCCCGCATAACCAAGAGATATTGCTAGTACCCGATAGAGCCCGCTAGCGCTAATAGTGACAACATCCCAATCCTCCATAATTTACAGAGGATTGGGAGGAAGAAAACCAAAAAAAAAGGGGAAAACCAAAACAAGACCTTGTCTCATACCTCACTCCCCTTCTGCCAAACCATCTCGATGGTCGCGGGCCCGTGATGGGGGCGGCGATTTGCTTTTGGGGAGGCGGTGGTGACCATTTGGGGAAAAGCGGAGGCAGGCGACCAAAAACACGAATCAACAGAAATTGTATATATCAAAAATTCTGAAGACCAGGAAATAGGTTTTCCCTCCGGCCAACGAATGTAGGCGGGAAGATTGGAGATGGACGAATATTTGCGGTCGGAGATTACAACTTAAAAGAAAAGAAAAAATCGTCAAGGCCCCACAGGATTGCCGTATCGCGGTCGTAGCAGGTGAAAAGAAATTGAGAAAGGAAAAAGATTTGTACTGCAAAAAGGTACAATCTAAAGGGCAAGTATAAATAACAGTCTTGAGGTACTAGGAAATCATCATACCTATCTTGCCATTTTTAAACATATATTCTTCTATAGAGAAAACAACCAATTGACTTGATCGTCGGAGTGCTATCGCCAAAAAACTCCTCCTGATACTCCTTTTTCGCAGGTCTCTTGGGCTTGGAGTGGGCTTTCCTACTTTGGGCCTTCTTTGAGTGGTCCTTCAATGCATCACATATCTCAATTTCTCTATCGGACCATTTAGCTCAGATCAACTGGCAAAAGTTTGTAAATACAGGGGTTATGCTATTTACACTAATACTAAATCTAATGTTATGGCCTAAAGGGGCACTTTGAACAATATATGTTCATAACCGTTATAACCAAACATTAGATTACGACCTATTATTTTTGGGCAAGTCGCACATCAACCTATGGGATGTTATTTGGTAATCCCTCCACTTCAAATCACTGGTACCAAAAAGGACATCAACCCTACCAAAGACTAAAATGCTCCTTAATATCTAATTTACTCCAATTTCATTCCAAAAATCATAATTTAACCAATTGCACCTTGACCCCAATCATTATGAAACTATAAAGTGCAAAAATAAAAATACTTGTGGGGTCATGCACCGTGGTAATTCATCAATCATTATGAAACTATAAAGTGCAAAAATAAAAATACATCTCATCAACATATCTAAAAATTACATTTTTTTTTATCCCAAACAAAAAATCCTTAAGCTATTTTGTTATCAAGTTATCTGAAAATCATATTTTCTTCCAAATATTTGTACCTAATATTTTCACCAGTTACAATTAAAGATCCATTAATCGAATAATTTAGAGATAAACGTTTATTTAATTTTATTTTGGAAGAAAATATAGTTTTTTTTTTCAATAATCATGTGTAATTTCAATATTGTCGCACTTTGTGTGCTCGAAATTATGTGGAAGGTTGAAGAAAATAACAATTTAATTTCTATTTTGCATCCCAGAAAAAAAAACTAATAAAAACTTTATTATTCAATTGAGGGTGCTGTGTGAATGATTGATTGTTTATTGAGGGTGCAAAGTGCTATTAATGTTTTTCAAGGGAGCAAATTGCCAAAATGCTCCAATTCAAGGGTGCAAAGTGGGATTAAGCCAAAGTTTAATTATTTCCTTAAACGAATATACAAAATCTTACGCAAAAAATTAGTGGTGCATTAGTGTCAAGAAAACTTGTGAATTGCAATTACTGATTAATTGTCCTAGTTGGAGTGTTGAACAAGAACTCTGCAGACGTAAGCATTGGAGAAAACCGTAATTCCTCCAAACTTAGGGCACAATAACATGGCAGTGAATCCAGCAATAGATGGTACGGAAATTCTCACAAAACCTAATTTTCTTTTCAATTTTTTTCTCATATGTTTATATATATATATATATATATATATATATATATATATATATATATATATATATATATATATATATATATATTTATTTATTTATTTGTATATATTGCTAAATTTATACGAATCTATGTCTGCTTTCACATTTAGTCTAAAAAACACATTTGGTGACATTTGGTCCTCACAGCCAATAATGTAACACTTATAGTCATTTCCGTCAATTTACTCTTATTTCATTGTGATGGGCACAGGCTTGATTCCTTAGTTTTAATGGGAAATTGATAGTAATGACTAAAAGTGTTGAATTATTGAAGCATAAGCAACCAAATGTGTTTTTTGTGAACATGGGGACCAAATGTAAAATTGATAAATTTTCCCATTCTCTCTCTATATATATATACATAATTATAATAAGGATACTCGTACTTTGAAAGAATTATATAATTATTCTTTGTAGTAATAGAGGATGTTTGAATTTGTATAGGAGACTAATAATCTATTTTAACGGAAAAAATTATGAGTGTGTTTCTGTGAGCTTGGCTATGGCGGACACGAGTTCTCTTCCTGCAAACTGGGAGGTCAATGTTGTCTTCAACATCTTTCTCTATAATCAGATTTCCGGAAATTATCTTTCTTCACCGGGTATTATTCTCTTTCTATCATTTTCAACCTACATCTTAAATTGTTAAGGAGTATTTTTTATGATACCAAAAAAATTCACTGACAGGAAGAACAAGATGTTTCTTAGAAACAAAGTCTGAATGGGGTATTTCAAAATTTATCTCTAAGAAAATTCTGTCAGATCCATCAAATGGTTATCTAGCCAACGACAACATTGTGTTTGGTGCAGAGGTTTTTGTAGTAAAAAAAGACGCCATCATTGAATGCGTGTCTTTGAATAATATCAATATTCATTACAAGCATGATTTCAAGATTTCGGACTTCTCCAAATTGAACGAAAGATGCTTTTCTGAACAATTCATAGCCGGAGGTCAAAAGTGGTACAACTTTTTAGTATTATTGCAACTATCTTTCTGGAAGTGTTATTTCATAATGATGATGCTAAAAATAGATCACCTTAAGTAGTTGAGATCGAGGGAATTGGGAGAGCAAAGTGGATCATATTTATGTAAACTTCGGAAGATTATTCTTGATCAGAAAGGAAGTGGAAAGGGAACCGACAGCCATGTTAGCATATTTCTGAACCATCTTGGTTTAGAAAGAGTGCAGGCATGTTTTACCGTATGCGAGAAAAGCCAGTTTGATGATATACAAACAAGGCGATATTGTAAGTTACGTTGCAACGTTTCAAACTCGTTGTTAAAAAGGCCGAAAAATTAAACTTTTATTTTTCTTTTTTTTGCAGCTACTAGTTATTGTTTTTCAGCTTCCATCAATAGTTGGGGATGGCCTGCATGCATTGAGCTTGCAACTATTAATGATCCTAACGAAGGTTTCATAGTCAATGATTGTTGTCTTCTAAGCATAGATATCCATGTCCAAGATGTTGCAAACATAATTAATTAAAAAAAATGTTTTAAACAATTTTGTTTTCGCTACGGTTTTTGTCTATTTATATCGAATAGTTATGTTACCAAGTTTTTTCAATATTGACTTTCATATTTTTCGTTATTTTGAAATTTCAATGCATTAAAATATTTGCATTCTATATGTATTATTGTATTCGGCAACCTTGTGTTTACATTCATTGTTGAACTCTATTAGGTTCCAATTAGTGTTTGGCTAGTTAGGAAATTTTATAGGGGGTCTTTGCTAATGTTCTTAACATGGAATTTTTTTTGGAAATTCGACATTGCACGAGTGTGGTGAGTGCCGAAAACCGGTGTATTTTGTCCACCTTGGAATAACAGGGACTAAAAGTGAAATCGGGCAAAACATTAGGGACCAAAATTGTAATTCTCTATCATTGGCCCTTATTCAGACGTATTTGGCGTCACGTTCGCTACAGTGGGACTGAGTGGACCAAATGTTTCTGAAAATTGGTATTTTAATCTGTATTTTATCTACCTTGAAACAACGAGGATGAAAGGTAAAATTAGACCAAAAATATTAGTGATCGAAAGTCTAATTCTTCATATTTTAAATAATAATGCTAATAACTCATCGATTATGATGGGGCAGTTTTCACGGTTGTGTTGATTTCAAATTACTCCAATTACGAGTGTGAACGTGCTATAAACAATCTGTTATAATCGTTTCTACTACGGAACTCTTATACTACTAATTGGATCCGTAGGTTCAAAGTATTATATAGATGTTGAACTACTTTTCATGAGTTTTTCGATTAAATCTGCACAATTTCCACACTATAAATCGATTAAATCTGCACAATTTCCGCACTATAAAATATTTTTTTTTATTTTTATTTCAATTGAAAAATATCGCCTATAATAATTTGTTATATGAACCTGCCATTTTCACAATTTTATTCATTAGTCTCTTTAATCCAAAGATCACATTAGAGAATAAGGTTCGAAGAAACATGCACTAATACTGTCATAAATTTACACTTATGCAGCTTATGTGATGAAGCGGAAAGAAAAAGGTTTCGATATTA